TTTTAATAAGCCATGAAGCTAATTTTTTTATAGGGAGGTTTAATGATCTTGGTAAAAGTAAGTTTTGTTGTGGTAATTTTTTTTTTTTATTATTCGGATATTGTAATTATCCACCTTAATTATTAGTGTGATTATAATGACTAAGTTAATTTTAATTATTATAAATTAAATTATAATAAATGTTAAATTTTAATTATTAATTTAATAATTGTTACTTATGATTAATTCAAATGTTAAACTTTTTAATGTTATAAGCAAATTAAATTAATTTTTTTCAATTAAGTTAGTACGCCGAAACCGAGAAGATCATATGAAATCACCCAAAAAAAATTGATAAAGTCAACGGTCACTACAAGAAAAACCATTTGTCTCTTATAATTATCTTGTTGGCCGAGGAATATGAAGAAATAATTTTTAAATAGATTAAACTTTTTGTTTATTACAGAAATTTAATTTTTATACATCCTATATATATATATATATATATATTTGAAACAAATTTTTTCAACACGGACCATAAAATTTATTTTGCAAAATCTGTATTTTATGTGCATTAATTATGAATAGATATATATACACAAGTATCACGATATTATTGAGTTTTCATTAATCTTATGGTTTTATTTATATTCAAATTTATTGTGCATACAATATTATTGATTTAATTAAATTTATTTAAAATAATATGTTACGGTTAAAAATAGATTAAACATTAATGCATTAAATTAAAGTGTGAATTTTTTTTTTTGTGTGCAAAGATCAAAAATATTATTTCTTATTTAACCTTTCATATAATTTCTCTAACCCACATATTATAGAATCGGAATATAACTCTTATACCATTTGTACGAATTTTATAAAAATAAAATTTGATAATACAAAAGTTAGATATAATCTTTAAATTATATTAAATGTTTATTTTCTACAAAAAAAAAGTGAAGATTCGAGAAGATTATATGTTTATTTAAAAAATATTTTGTATGATTGTAAATAGTTCTTCCATTATGAATTCAGATACGCTTCTATTTCAAATATAATTTATTCGATTAAATATGAACATAATTATTTAATTTTACATCTAGTTTTATTTTTATAAAATTCTTACCAATCTGTCAATTATAAATAGATATATATATATATACACACACAATTATCTTGGTTTAAAGTAAAAATTCGGGGCTCAAAGGCAAGTTTGAATTGAATTTGGCTTGGATATGATTTTCTTATAAATTTTTTATGATTAAGATTTGTGTCTTTAATTTTTTTTTTTTATTTTCAAAATATTTTTCTTCATTTTCCATGCAATTTCATAATAAAAAAATGATTAATTTTCACGATCTCTTAAATTGAAAATGAATAAATAATGTTGGAAAAAAAAAGAAAATAACTAAATAATTAGAGTAAATAAAGCATTAATTGACCAAATATTCAAAAGTTTCAATATTTTTGGGGATAAAATTGTATAGTTAGTAACCCACTTCAATTATTTTAATTTTATATTATTAGTAATTATATATTAATTAAAAAATGTAAAATTTAAATAAATATTAGAGAAAAATGAAAAGTTTGATTTATTATTATTATTATTATTATTATATTTGATTTTTATTTTATTTATTAGTGCATATTTGAATTTTTGTAATAATTCTAAATTGTTTATTTTAGGGGTAGGTGGTCTACCTACTCTTTTATTTTTTTATTAAATTAATTTAGAAAATTATTTATTATTATTATTTAAAATAATATAAAAACTTTTTTTATTTTCAAAACATTTTTTTTTTCTCTCGGGCTATAAATAGCATCACTGCTAGAGAGCCTTCGCAAGCTGAAAGATTCGCTCTGAGAGCAAAAGTCTCTTTTCGTCTTCGTCTCAATGGCGAAGGAGGCCGGAGCTCACAGAACCGTACTACTATTATGCGGAGATTACATGGAAGATTACGAGGTTATTTTAATCAAAATTTCATTTTCTTTGTAACATTTTGTTTTGTTACTGTTTGATTTATCGAATGATTTTGGTTGATTGCAGGTGATGGTTCCTTTCCAAGCATTGCAAGCATTCGGAATCTCTGTTCACGCCGTTTGCCCCGGAAAGAAGGCCGGCAATGTTTGCCCGACCGCCATTCAGTACGGTTGTGGTCATCAGGTCCTTCCTCTTTCTCTTTCACTCTCTCTCCCTCCCTACATATAGATATTAGATATAGATATAGATATGTAACGAACCAACTGCATCAAATGTTTCGAATTGGTAGCCTTATTTCATGGTCACTTATTAATTACTATATCATATAACTGTTTGTACCAAAGACTAAATAATTTTTGACTAAAAATACTTTTAGTCTAACAACTATTTTAATAACACTTTTAAGGCTCACAACACAGGGTAACACTAGCCCTTTCAGTCTACATAATTAGTTTTGCCTCTACTACACAATGATTTTTATTCATAAACTCCATGAGAAAATTCTATCTTCCTCTGGCTATCTTTGAATTTTCTTTAGGAAAGAATAAATTCTTTAGTTTTTTTTTCTTTACTGAACAGAAAACTGCATGAAAGTCGATTAGTTGTAGCCAATGATGTGGGTTGATGATATATCTATACTCTAAAAAGTTTAAATATTTGTAGATTTTCGGATAATTGACGATCACATGTGTGTCATTTCTACTAAAAATTTCTAGTCATGGCTTGACCCCCAATATTGAATTTCGTAACTTAAAGTGGATTTTACTTTGTAAGTACGTTGTCAGGAATTCTTGCTTTTTCAGAAAACTAAGGTGCTAAGTATAGTCTTTCCATCATTTTTAGGGTGTTTTGGACATGAACATAAGCTATTTGAAGAGCTATAGTTGATTCTGAAATTTTCTACCGTGGGTTTGCTTTGTAATATTCATGACTTGAATCAGTGACAAATTCAAGTTAGCAGCAACCCGCTTGTTAATGTGTTAGTTTTATAAGCAAACGCACATGAGGTTATGTTTCCTTTTCTTTTTCAGAGAAAGAATGGGATATTCTTCCTCTTCTGAAACATCTGTTGATTGCTGGATTTAGACTTTCAAAATCTGGAAAGGAGATGAAGGAATGGAGGAAAAATAAAGTGCAAGCATTTTTTGCATATATGAAACGAAACTAGACATATTTGATGGTTCATCATGCCTATAAAAATAGTCAAACAGCTAGTTAGAATCTTATTTCAAACTGCAGAAGGAATGAGTTACCCAAAAGGAAAAAGGATTCTATGGAATAGATTCATTAGGCATGTTCCAAGACATCTCTAGTAGAATATCAAATCAAAGGCACTATGAGGTATCCACATATATTATAATCATATCGGTTCTGTGATGGTCATCCTTAGATGTGAGAAATTTTGAACTGGAAAGACCGTGCTGTTGAGAGGCTTACTCTAAGGAATACAAAGTCATAACTTGTTTTTTGTTAGTAGATGTGTTGCTGCAATTTCAATGTACTTTGTAAGCTACCCTTATTGCCTTTTTTTTTATCATCTTTTCAATTTATTTTCTGTTTTTACTGGTTGCAGACGTATTCTGAGTTTCGTGGTCATAATTTTACGCTGAATGCAACATTTGATGAAATTGAATTCAGCGAATATGATGGAGTGGTGATAGCAGGAGGACGTTCCGGGGAGTACCTTGCTACAAATGCATCTGTTGTAGAGTTAGTGAAGAAACTTCACGTTTCCGGGAAGCTAATAGCCGCTATTTGTCATGGGCAATTGATATTGGCTGCTGCAGACATAATTAAAAGTCGAAAATGCACAGCATACTACACTTTGGGACCTGTGCTCATTTCTGCAGGTGCTTCCTGGGTAGAACCTAACGGTTTAGTTGGCACTGTCGTCGATGGAAATATTATAACTGGTGTTACATACAGGGGTCATCCTGAGTATATTGCCCAATTATTGAAGGCACTTGGTGGAAAGATAAGTGGTGCTGATAAAAGGATCCTATTTCTTTGTGGAGTAAGTTGTCACTTCTTCCTTAAGATACTGGCCTGTTATATCATTGGTTTTAATGACAAATCGATCAGGCAAAAAGAAGAGAAACAGCTTGTATTACAATAGCGTTTAGCACATAGAAGACGATCCAGTTATGTTAGCTTAGGTAATTGTTTTTTTCAAGGACTGTGAACTTAGCCCTTTGTCATGCTTGGATGATTCCTATTCCTTGTGCTTCATGACTTAAAAGTAAAATGTGGAGAAGAAATTCTTTAATTATTAATCTCTCTTTTAGTCACATGCCTTAGTTTTTCTTTGATTTTTTGACTTAGAAATGAAAAGAAAAAGAGTTGGAGTCAAAATGATGAAGATTTGTTTCCCCATGAATAGTGTCACGAACCTATTGTATGGTTCGGATTTGGAAGAAATAGGAAAAAAGAGGAAGAAAGCTGAGAGAGAGAAAGAGAGAGATAGACAGAAGGCGAGAATCGGCAAAATGTGAGAGAAAGATTGTATTCAAATTTCAATAATTTTCTACATCCTTCTTTCCTTGAGTACATGCTTAAATATAAGCTATAGAGTAGGAATTTGTAACCACCGGATATGATGATCCTAGATCTGTCTCTCCAGATTTATTATGATGGAGAACACAAAACTACCCTCATACAGACTTGCATTTTTTACCCTTGTATAGTATTTTTCTAGTTTTCTAATTTATTCTTGATCCCTTATAAATAGCTTCTCTGATTCGATATTTGCAGGATTATATGGAAGATTATGAAGTAACTGTTCCTTTCCAGTCCCTTCAAGCTCTAGGATGCCATGTTGATGCAGTTTGCCCCAAGAAGAAGGCTGGTGATCTCTGCCCAACTGCTGTCCATGATTTTGACGGTGACCAAACTTACAGTGAGAAGCCTGGCCATACTTTTACCTTGACAGCGGATTTCGATTGTCTAGATGCCACAAGTTATGATGCTCTTGTCATTCCCGGAGGTCGGTCACCGGAATATTTGGCAACGAATAAAGATGTCATTGCAATTGTGAAAGAATTCATGGAATCCAGGAAGCCAGTGGCATCCATTTGCCATGGACAGCAGATTCTAGCTGCTGCTGGCGTTTTGGAGGTAGGATTATTGACTATGAACTTTACACTTATTATATTTCCATCAATCTATCTGTTTGATTGGTTTCCTAGATAAATTTTTATTCTCTGTTTATTTTCTTCAATTTATATACTTATTGTAGATAATGTTACTGTAAACTCGAGCACCCAACATTAATTTTAAGGATTAAAATATCAATCCTTAGATCGTAACTTCGGAAACTATTTCTTTTTAAGTATCAATTTTTTATGGTTGAAGAGTTAGAGTTCAAAATTAGTGTTATTATAAGCTTCCTATGAATTAGATACCTCAGGAACTCTGAGTTTAGTAGCATACAAGAAAAAGTACTCAAACATGTGTTGAATAATAAAATTGAATCGATTTTTCCTAAGGTCTAAACTGATAGAAAAGAGTAAAACACAATCTTTTCATACTATGTGATGAAATTTGATTAACAAAAATAGGGTAATTTCGACTCTAAATTTCTGACTGTTTTAGAAATAGAATTAGATTATTTTTTTTAAAAAAATCTTAAATTAACGAAAAATAGATGGATCTATTAGTTGTAGTTTAATAATATTTTTAAGAGGAAGACTTCGAATAATTTGTTATCCTCCTGATGTTGAGTGTTGCTCCTTTTTCTTGATGCTGCCTGGTCATGGTTTTCATGGTTGCTGCATTGTAATTCCTTGTCGTATGAGTTTTTCCGCAGGGAAGGAAATGCACTGCATACCCTGCTGTGAAGCTTAACGTAGTCCTCGCGGGGGCAACTTGGCGAGAACCGAGTCCAATAACTCGCTGCTTCACTGATGGAAATTTGGTTACTGGTGCAGCTTGGCCAGGCCACCCAGAATTCATTTCCCAGTTGATGGCATTGCTTGGCATCCAAGTTTCTTTTAGTTGATCTTCGTCATGATATTATATGCTCCATTTGCATAAATATAAATACATACATACCAATATATATATATATGTATATATCTATATATGCACGAGATGGGAGAATGAGAATTTAAGTGATTTGTGTCATAGCAATGTGGATCAGATGGAAAGTTTTCTCCATCTAGTTGATAACTACAGAGCTGTTATCCTCGCCTTGTTCGTATGCAGCTTAGCTGTAACAAACGACAGAACATCTGTATGTATTGTTATATATATATAAGAAATAAAGAATTTAAGAAGTGTTTTGATGTATTAAACAGTGTCTTACTATCCTATTATTATTTTTTGTTTGAAAAAAAGAAAATTATAAGTAAGAAAAAGACAAGTGAGGGATGCTTGAGGGATGCTTTAAATATACTTGAAGGAAGGACATAGGAGAATATTTTGACTTTGCCCCATTTCACCCACCTTACCCTTTATTAAACAAAAATTAAGAATAAAATTATATTAATGTTTCTCCACGTGTATTTATGAGTACATATACTGTTTTGAATTTTTATTTCTTAGTTAGTTTATTTAATGATCATAATTTTAATATTTTATTTGAAAATTATAAATTTAAATTTTATTAAAAATTTATATTTTATAATTTAAATTTATTTAAATATTATGTAATTTAATGATTATATTTTTAATATTTTATTTGAAAATTATGATTTCAAAATTTATTAAAAATTTATAATTTATAATTTGAGTTTATTTGGGTGGTAAATCATTAATAGTTATACTTCTAACGTTCTATTTCGACCGTTACAAATTTAAATTTTATTAAAAATTTATAATTTATTTTTTGGTGTATTATTAAAATTCTAATATTTTGTATCAGATATTTAAAAATTTTTAATAATATTATATAAAAATAATTTGTGATTTTTTTTAAAAAAATTCAATGTGGATTATGATAATAAAATATTGATTTTTTTTGTTGTTGAGAATTTTGTACTAAAAAATTAACACATTGTCTAATTTTTTTTTATTATGTATTTTACTAATTGATGTATTAAATTGATATTTTATAATTTAATTAATTAAATAATAATTTTATGCTTTTTAAAATATATCAAATTACTGCTTTAAAAGTAAACTTCTGTTAGTTTTAACGGAAGTTCGAAACACCAATTTAATAAGTCGATACGTCTGAGGATCACTAACCGCGGTCTGTCTGTTTTCGTCTTCCTCTCTGAGAGCAAGCAAAATGGCGAAGGAGGTCAGAGCTCAGAGAACCGTTCTGCTACTATAGCGGTGATTACATGGAAGACTATGAGGTATTTTCATTTTCATTTTCTCTAAAATCGTTTTTGTTGCTGTTTGGTTTATCGAACTATGTGCTTGGTTGCAGGCGATGGTACCTTTCCAAGCATTGCAAGCAAGCATATGGAGTCTCTGTTTACGCCGTCGGTCCCGGAAAGAAGGCCGGCGATATTTGCCCAACCGGCATTCAACAAAGTTCTGGTCATCAGGTCCCTCTCTCTCTCTCTCAATCGATTTGTCTCTCTCTCTCTCTCTATATATATATACATATATCTCTATGTGTGTGTATGTGTATTATAATGAACACGTTGTGCCGGATTTCATGTCTGCAATCGGTTGCCTGCCTTTCTTGTTCACCGATTATTTGAAAGTAGAGAAGGTCAATAACCATGACTATGTTTCAAAATCTGGAAAAGGAGATGAATAATGAGGAAATAATACATTGTAAGCATTGTTTAGCAACAAATGAGATGAAACTAAAGATATTTGATGGTTCATCACGAGTGTGGAAATAGATGACCAGCTATAAGATTATCAAAATCTAGGCGCAGAATGAATGAATACCAAAAGAAAAACTTCCATGGAAGAAGTTTAATGCATGCCTCAGGCCTCTCTAGTTGAAAATGAAAATTAAACAGACGCATGGCTGTATATCTATGAAGATCGGTTGGCCAGGTTAGCAGTCTTCATCAAACAAATGTAAATACTATTGGTTCTGTGATTGTCATCCCAGAGGGGGAAAATTTTAAACTGGGAAGACCATGCTGTTGAGAGGCTAATTTTTAGGGTATCAAATGAGGAACCTGCTTTTTCTTAATAGATACATTGCTGTAGTTTCAAAGTAGTTGTAAGTTGCAGTCATTCCCTTCTTTCTCATCTTTGGATTTACTGTTTTTACTGTTTGCAGGCTTATTCTGAGTCACGCGGTCATAATTTTACACTCAACGCAACATTTGATGACATTGAATTTGGCAAATATGATGGTTGGTGATACCAGGTGGACTCTCTGGGGAATACCTTGCTATGAATGCTTCTGTTTTAGATCTGGTAAGGAAATTTGCTGCCTCTAAAAAGGTTATTGCTGCTATTTTCCATGGGCAATTGATATTGGCAGCTGCAGATGTAGTTAAAGGTCGAAAGTGCACAGCAGTCTCCGGTGTAGGACCTGTGCTTATTTCTGCTGGTGCTTCATGGATAGAACCTAAGGGCTTGGTTGGGAGCGTTGTTGATGGAAATATTGTTACTGGTGTTACAGACAAGGGCCATGGTATATTGGTCTCTTGTTGAAAGAACTTGGTGGAAAGATAACAGGTGCTGATAAAAGGATTCTAGTTCTTTGTGGGGTAAGTTGTAACTTTTATTGAAGAGACAATTAGAAAAAATTAAGAAAATAAATATACCTCTAGGCTTTTTGAAATTTTCCATACATTTTACTGGGAATTGAATTAACATAATTCAGATAATGATATTGAAAATGGGCGCTGTGAAAATGTGGCTATGCTCCTCCTGAATCATCCCAGTGAAGCATATAAAAACAGGTTAGATGTTTTGCTTGTGTACATCACATAGTTGTGCACAATTCTTTCCTTCTGCCACATTGGAAGTTATTGAATTATTTGTATAGAGTTAATATCTTTACTGTCACTTTGCCTATTCTTTTATTTCTCCTTTTCATTCTGTTTTGTTGGTGAGGTGCATGGTTGTAATCTCTTAGTGGTGAAATTCATTTATCAACTTCAATATCTTGTAAATCTTGTTTTATTTTGTATCTTCTTCATTTTTTTTCTGGGGGAGGGGGGCTTATGTACATAAGCGTAACTGGTTTGACATAAAAACATAAGTTAGATTTTTTAGGTTTGGAAAGGTTTCCTAACTGGTTTCAGCATTTTTTTTTCTTGCCATTTATCAGCTTTCTGTCAATAAATTCTTAAGCCATTGGGCTTGTCAACTTTTTGTTCGTTTCTTCTCAGGGGAACCCTTTAGGCACTGTTTATGGTTGTTTCCTGTTGATCCAATAGGAACCCTCTTCGCTTACTGAACTATAACCTGCAAATCCTCTCTTACAATGCAAATTACTTCTTTTCTGCTAGAACCATTAAAAATGCTTGCAGCTTCAACTCTTATTTCAAGAATTTACCTAAGGATTGATTTTTGTCCTTCATAGCCTCTTTTAAGCCATTTCATTAGACTTAAGACGATTCTTGCGCGTGGAAAGACATAAACTGTACGTATATTTGTTCTTAGAAGTCAAAGCATTTGTGTTTGGCAGAAGAAGACAGAAGGTTTTGTATCTTGATATAACTATGGCTTTATACATCTAATTAAGGACACTTTTCTTCACTAGAAGGATATTGGTTGTGCCTATGGGTGTGTAAGTGGCATGAAGCAAATGGATTAAGTATGATAGACTTCAGCATGTAGAAGCTGTTCCGATTATATTTGCTGTAAATTGGTTCTTCTGTCACCATGGGATTATTCCAATTCAATATGGTTGCTGTCACCTCAAAGTATAAATAACAAGCTATAATAGCTGTATTAAATTATTTCTTTGATTTATATATTAAGGAGTGGAACAGAAAAAAAGTACATAAACAAAAATGACGAAAGAATTGTTCTCATACAGCAGGGCCTAATAGCATCTCCGATTGCATGTTTGCAGGATTATATGGAGGATTATGAAGCAACTGTTCTTTTCCAGTCTCTTCAAGCTCTAGGATGCCATGTTGATGCAGTTTGCCCCAACAAGAAGGCTGGTGATAATTGCCAAACTGCTGGAGTTTTGGAGGTAGGATTATTCACTAAGGACTTCAAATTTATTATATCCCCATTGGTTTACTAGAAAAATTTCCTGCTCCTTATTCTCCCTTTAATTTTATTCTTGTATATGTGTATGTCTGAAAAAATTAAGAGTGAAAAATCAAGAAATTGAAAGGAGATGGATAGGTGGATCGCTAATATCAAAACCCTAAAATGAAGGATCAAGATATTTTCTGTTTTAAAATTGGTTAGATTGTTGAAGACAGCTGGTGGTTTTGGTAGATTCCAGAGACCACCTTCCCATTTTTCCCTTTTACTCTCCTGCATGTATAAATATTCCCAATGCCTTCATACAATTTATAAGACAGAAAATTAAAAGCATTAAAATCTTATTTACACCCGGTTGGATTTTTTACATGGTATCAGAGCAGTGCCTATGATAAGCACTGATTTCTCTGATTTCTACACTACATTATTACTCTATTACCCAATGACAAACCTTAATATAGATGTATTGACACTCTTAAACTCAGATAAGCCTGGAATGCAACTTGTCACAATTACTCTTTATAACTCCAACTATTTGTCTTGGAGTCGAGCAATGGTGATTGTGTTGAGAGTCAAGGACAAGTTCACTCTCGTTGATGGCAGATGCAAGAAGCCCAAATTTGATGCAGTAGAATATGAACAATGGCACAAAACAGACAGTATGGTGGTGTCCTGGATCCTAAGCTCACTCTCGTTGATGGCAGATGCAAGAAGCCCAAACTTGATGCAACATAATATGAACAATGGCACAAAATAGACAGCATGGTGGTGTCCTGGATCCTAAGCTCGATGAACAAAGAGTTTGCTAGCGCCTTCTTGTTCACTACATCAGAAAAAAAACCTGTGGGATGAAATAAAAGAAAGGAATGATGAAAGTAACGGATCTTTGCTGTATCAATTAAAAGGTGAAATAAGCTCCATCACGCAGTCTAACATTTCTATCACAGCCTATTATACAAAACTTAAAAGGCTATGGGATGAGTTAACTCACCTAAGGCCCTCACCTGCTTGCACTTGCTATGCTGCAACACAACATAGTGAAATTGACAATACCGACAACCTGATCCAATTTCTAATAGGTCTTAATGACCCATACGACCATGTCAAAAACCTAATATTGATCATGAAACCATTACTCGCTGTGAACAGAGCTTATTACATGGTGATTAGTATTGAAAAACAGAGGGAAATACACAATATC